TAATATCCACTGTGGTACCCAGAGGAATTCAATTATTAGTTATTAGTTAATACACATTAATAAATCTTATTTGTTTTGTTCTATAGTTCATTTTCCTACTCTTAAGAAGAAACCCTGTATATGACATGTGATACACCATACGCTGATATCCTGAGTAAAATGCAAAGAAATCATACACATTACTATCTATTTGTAATATTACTTGTGGTACAGCATGCGCTGATATCCAGTATAATGCCTACTCTAAGAAAACCACTGCATACCTAATGACATGCGGTACAGCATGCGCTGATATCCGGAGTAATTGTGAAGAAACAAACACCCAGTTAAAATGGATATGAAACCATTTTCAAAAATCCAATGAATGAAGGTTTTGGAATCCTTGGGTAGTCAATAAACCAGTCACAAAGTACTAACCTTGAACAATTTGTTGAATTTGAGAAATTAATAAAAACATTTGTAAAGTAATTTCTCCGAAAAATGGCCGATATGTCGATACGCCATCTTTGTTTTCATACGCATTCTAAACCTACTGCGATCGTTCAGATAATTTGAAACAACCGCGTTATATTCCCGACTGTAAGTGATTTGTGATTGGTCAATCAAATTGCACTTTGACACGATAATCGCCGACGACAAGTAAACAAACAAGATGCCGAACGGTTGTTGTGTATTGGGCTTCAATAGAACGCAAATAAGTCACCCAAAAGTATCGTTTTTCCTCTTTCCCAAGAAATATAAAAATATAAGAAACTTTTAATAAGTGGGTAGAATAAAGGACAACGAGGAAGAAGATGTTGAGGAAATGCCATCTCAGACCAAAAAAGAAAAACAACGAAATCTATATACCGACGAAAACGGGAGGTTGAAAGTGTAAGTAGGTGTAGGTAAATAAAGTAAAGTAGCTAGGCTAGGCCTAGCTAGCATATTACCTAGGCATGGTCTAGTTAGGGTGGGGTGGTGGCTAGCCCTCGGCGGCCCTATCCTACGTTGGCCTAGCAATTTTGCGCCAAAGATTGCTATGAAGATGATGCACAAAATCGTACCTTACTAATCTAGGCCTATACTACTTCTTAGGCCTAGCAGCAGCGGTTCTGGGGTCTACTATCTACACTACTAAGCCTAAATCTTATGCATTCGCCGTAAATGCTAATCACATGTTTCAGCTAGTATTTGCTTTGGAAACTACCAATCACCCTCTTTTACTCCTGGGTGGAGGCAATGATAACGCCTTGCCAAATGATTAACTAGTGTAGAATAATTGTTATACAGTATATTCGTACTGTATAACATTGTAAATGCTTTTTTGAAATAGTCATTTTCTTGGATTTTCCTGAGCACCGACATCTGAAACCTTGCAGTGATGGGCTTGTTATAGTCCACCGAAAATACGGATTTGACTGGACAAAATTGCAACAAAACGTTTTATGATCTAAATATAAACTTAATTATATGTAAAACAACATACTAAAAGTTTACCAAAATAGGACGTACATAAAGGCGTTTTTTATAACCAAAAGTTCAGTACTATTTGAAAGTAGACTTTTACACGGTACGTACCGCGGTTTTCAAACTTTTCTTGATTATGATTGGTCAACAGTTGTGCCTGTCTCTTATACACATCTAGATGTGTATAAGAGACAGGTCTAGGCCTGAGGCCTTGTAATAACATCTCATTTTTTAGGCCCTAGCTTAGGCATTGCTCTCTTGCTTCCCGGTTCAGTCTAGCTAGTATTCGCTCACACCGAAGTGTGTCACTTTCCCCGCATCGCAACGTTTTCTCAGCGGCCAACGCACGCATGAACGTATAGAGAAAATCTTAGTAACGTAGGCCTGGGGCTATTTTCAATGTAATCTCATCAGTATCTAAGTGTAGAATGGAACCAGAAATGCATCGACCTACTGATGTAGAACTACTACTTTATTTATTGTCGAGTACCGTTTTTTTTTTGGTTTTTTTTTTTCATTGTACAGTATCGCAAAAACTAGATCAGTCTCAAAATAAAAAATCTTTCAACTTATATTTTGACGCCTTTTGAATTTATTTTTAGGATTAAAATCTGTATCATAACATAGGGCCTGCTAATTATTGAGTCGTTTACTCTATTCATGATACATGCATCCAATAGAAATCTCAATATTGAAAAAAAGAATATTGGTCATTTAATTTGCATCACGAAAAATGGGAACATAACATAACTATTGTAGTTTTGATTACATTACTGCTGATTTCATATTGACGGTAAATGAATTTTGCATTGAAAATTATTAATATAAATTAGTTTTACTGTAACTCACTTTTAGGTCAATATAAATAAAATTTTGTAATTTTGAAAACATTATACCAACACTCCTAATAACGGAAAAATTTCTTGCTTTGGTTTGTGTCCCTTGAATATGGGTGCCCTTATCTTATTTAGAAGTCCCAAAGGGCCCCTGATTAGGGGTTCTACTTTATATCGAAGTGCTGTAATGTCTTGTAACAACAATATAATTTGATAAACATACTTATTAGATAAAATAATTATCTAAAACAGCTTTTCAACTTAATTTTCATGATTTGTTGATTTCCATCGGTTTATTCTGACCACGGCAGTTTCTACTAATGCGTTACGGCTTAAGGAAGTAGCGCGCCCTCAATTTTCTTTCGCTATCCTTTAATAGCAGACGACGCTGACTCAGAGAGACCTCCGCGCGAAGTTCGAATTCCCTTGCTACGGCTACCAGTCCGATATACCACCTCATAGTTCGACAGTGTTTTCTACGAAAATACACAGAGTTGAAAGTGTGAAAAACATGCACTGCATTGAAATACGTTTATATAATTGAACTGGACAGTGAAAAACAAATAAACCATTTAGAATACGACTTTTTATCAGTTTTATTTTTGAAGAAAATTCGTAATAAATATTGAACAGCGCCACCAATTCAAACTGGAGGTAAACAAAAAAATTGTCGGCAAGATCATCGTAAGTTTTCACTGTTTACCTTTACATTATTAATACTACAGAAATTTCATCAATGCATTCTTTATTATGAATTATCCATTGTTTATTTTAACTAGGTTTTACCAATAGTTGATGGTTAGATTTTTAATAACGTAGATGTGTATAAGAGACAGGGTTGTGGCTGAACACCGGCTGATAGAATTGGTCCATGTCCGACTTGTACTGCTCTACCGGCTGTCAGTTAAGGAGGTACGTTCTGTGCACGCAGTTAGACCGCATGTCATGCATGCATAATAATATGCCAAATAAATATTAATAAAATTTCAGTTCCTTAACCTTTTTATTTGTCAATTATAAGTGTTGGACATCAACCATCTATAATTTCCATTTATTACTTGCCTGCCTACCTCCCCCCACTCCTCACTACCATTGCCAACCATATTAAAGTTCATTCAGTATAATATCTAACAATTTCCGTGTTTACATTCTGGGACGTGACGTACGTACGAATTTGCGTACTTGCGTACGTACGTACGTGTGTTGCGTAAATGAGTACGCGCAGACTGTTGAAGGTATGTTAACCAATCAAAAGCGTCAGCGGCAAATCAAATTAAAGCGCTTCGTAACCAAGGCACAGCAAGATGTGTATAAGAGACAGATTTCAAATAAATCAATTATCAAAGTCATTATTATACTTTTTAAAATATCGGTATATTTTGGTAAACTTTTTGTATGTTGTAGATATAAAATTTAACTATATATATTCATAAAAAAAACGTTTTGTTGCAATTATGTCCAACTTTGGTGCTTCAAATCCGTATTTCTGGTGGACTATTAGTCATTTGCAAGATGTAACCACGTAAACAGACATGCAAATAGATACAGAGTTCTCCAATTATAGACACCAGAAAAAATATTTTGAGATACAAACTACACTAGTGAAGTTATTGAATAGCTCTTACAAGTTACTGTAACTTCGATTTTTTAATTTTATCTCAGAACCTACATAGCAGCTTTGCAAACCAGGGAGGAGATCTTGAGTACTCTTTGTGGTTCTCTCTTGCCAAAAAAGACTGGGTAGCTGGAAAACATCTTGTCAAGTCTACTACATTCGGTAAGATAACTTTTCAAAAAAATAATTTGTGCTTTACCCATTTATATTTTATACTTGTTGAAGTATTTTAATGCATTTATAAGCTTAATTTCCACCATTTAAGTTAATACAGTATATATCAGCATTTGGGTCAGGCATTTCATGTGTTATAATATGTGAATATTGTCTATCTTTGCAGAATACGCTGCGAACATAATTGAAATGGCTCTGTACATGGCAAAAAGTAATATGAAAGAGTTTTTTACACTGCTGAAATAATGTGCGATCCGGGAACAATTGCTGGGAAATTACCGAAACCAGACAAAAATTAGTTCGTGTCCAGGTTATTCAGCTGATTCAACAGAAATTAAACACTGTATAGCCATACAGTAACATGACCATGTTACACTTTTTTTTATAAGAGCCATTCAAATTATGCCCAGGCTCACTGTTATTATTTTTTGCTAATTCCAGCATTGCTCTATTTCCATTTACAGAAAATTGTTATTGTACAGCAGTATATTACTGTGCTATAAACGTTATAAGATCGTTATCGTTGAAGTATAAACAGGCCTTTATCCTCAACCTGGGCTTCAATATTTGGAAAAGCTTTTGGTTTGTACCTGATTGTACTTTAAACATTTCTTATGAAGTAGTTCTTGTTATCTTGCATAGTAAAATACCTACTACAGGTCTTGTGACATGTTTCCAAACTACATCTTCCACGTTGTATTAGCAAATCCTACCCACTTATTAAATGTTTCTATATCTTTTTTGGAAAGAGAACTAAAGATAGTTTCTGGTGACTAAATTGCATTCTGATGTGTTGAATTTGTGTAGACAAAAATCATGGAAAATAATTTTATATAACCAATTATGTCATTTACTAAGATAATTCATATATAAGGGTTTTTTGAAATGATAATACTGTTAGTGCAATAAACAAGCAATTACCATTAATCATTTTTTAACAAGTTAAATTGGATAACAATTATATTTATTATTACATGTACTAATCTTTACATTTAATGATAAAGCATGCTTTAGCATGAATACTGCAATCATAATCTAACTGTAAATTAGTGGAAAGTGTCTTCA